TGAGTTAAAAGTGGTACCATGTGAACTGTGTCAGATATCAACAGGTGACTGATAGTAAAGAAAGTGATTTGAGTAAACAGACTGAAATCAACAAATGGAAGGAAATTAGAAAAGACAGGACAATTCAGAAGGATATACGTGCACTTTGATCTAAGAATAGAACAACCACAGTTGAACTATGGAAAGTCCAATTTCTTCAGTTCCTTTGTAAAATCAGTGAACTGGGGAGAGATGAAGAGGTTCCCACTATGGTGGCACTCACTATATAAGGTGGAGGCAGACATAAATATATAATTCCAAGATGGAGGAGTTTCTTTGTTGTTTATTTTTTTAACTTTATTTTTATTGTTGACACTATTACAGATGTCCCCATCCCTGCCTCTTTGCCCACCTTCACCTGTCCCCCGCTACCCCTTCCCTCTGGCCACCACCACACTGTTGCCTATATCTGTAGGTTATGCATGTATGTTCTTTGGCTAATCCCTTCACCTTCTTTCACCCCGTCACCTCCTCCCCACTCCTCTCTGACAGCTGTCAGTCTCCTCCATGTATCCAGGCCTCTGTTGTTGTTGTGTGTGTTAACCACTAATAACAGCATTCTTTTGGTGCTTGGGGCCCTTTGGAGTTTAGAGAAAATGCAAAGGACCTAGGAATTGGTCCGAATTGCAGTATTAGGCCCAAAATCCAAAACAATGACAACACACAATGCTGGACTGAAACTCTCATTCATTAAAAGATGGGACACGCCACTTTGAAAGATAGTTTGGCAGTTTCTTAAACACTTTTACTATACAATCCAGCAGTTGCAGTCCTTGGTGTTTACCCAAGTGAGTTGAATGTCTACACAAAACCTGCACACCAGTATTTATAGCAGCTTTATTCAGAATTACCAAAACCTAGAAGAAACTGAGATGCCCTGCAGTAAGTGAATAGATAAATAAGCTGTGATACGTTCAGACAATGGAATATTTATTCAGTGCTAAAGAGAAATGAGTTGTCAGGTCATGAAAAGACAGGAAGGAACAGTAAATGCATATTACTAAGTGAAAGAAGCCAATGTAAAAAGGTTACTTTCTGTATGATTCCAACTCTAGGACACTCTGGAAAGGACAAAACTATGGAGACAGTACAAAGATCAGGAGACCGTGCACATATTCAGTGATACACACTCCCACCACAGATCCCTATCCTTCATTTCAGGATCTTCTGAGGTCAATTTTCATTCCTTCACGGTTTTTCTATGGCTTCATACCCAACATCCCCTCCAGACTTGGGATGTAATGTGATTGCCTGCACCTTTAAATCACTCTATATTGAACGCAAAAAAAAATGCATTGAAACTGGGAGTAGATATGAAAAGAGAGATTAAATGGTTATTACAATTGGCCAGGTGAGAGGTGGTTTGGACCAGAGTGAGGGAATAAAGTGGGTAAATTAGAGAATTATTTGGCAGCTATAATTTATAATGGTTATTCGTCAGATGTGGTGGGAATGAGAGTGATGCCCAGGTTTCAGCCTACAGCAACATGAGAAATTGAGTGATGTGATGGTAATGTCACTCAGTGAAGTGTCCCCATGCACAGATTCATGCATATTGAAAGGAAATTAACTAGAAGAAATATTTTAATATTGCTATTCGCCCTTTCTCTATAATAGAAATGTCAACCAAATCCACAATCGACAATGACAGATTGAAACACATGCATGTGATTGGCACCAGCGAGAGCTTTATCTATAAACTTGCTTAATTAGACCTGCTTTCTGATTTAGCTAAATTTTTTCCAGCCCAGTGAAGCACTCCAACTTCTCTTTCAAGTAATTGTCAGCAACACAGCAGTAAATATCAACATGAAGCAGATTATTATTGTATTATAGATCATGCAGGGAGAAAAAAAAAAAGGGTAAAATATTTAACTGTAGCAGTGTTTGACTATATTCTGCACAGTGAGAAAACCTGAAGTCATTTTCAAGTTCCACCGTTTCTTACTTCTTTTCAGTCGGGTCAAGTTTCTAAACTTTCTAAATCTCCATTTTCAGGCTAATGAAAAGAAAATAATATTCTACGAGTTGCCTATCTACCTAGTCCAGGACTTCTGTGAAAATCAAATGAGATGAGGAATGTGAAAATGCTTTACAGACATTTGGTTAAACTGTAAACTATTTACACCTGGCTATAAAACAAGTCATGTTCCCAGACTGAAGAAACTCCAGGCATTGCTAAATGACATCATTCCGAGCTGGGCTGGGCTGTGGGCCGCATTTTGCACCATGGGGGCTTGGAAGCATTGGCTGCGATTAGGTTGGGTATCACTCCAGGGCCTGTGTCCCACTTGGGGGAAGATAAGTGTTGGTTTGTCGGCACCAGGTCCGCGGTGCCATTTCTTTTTAAATGACCAGTGTGTGTCATGGCAGTTCCTGTATTGAGTGTCTGCCCCCTGGTGGTCAGTGTGTTCAACCAATCAAAGCGTAATATGCTAATGATATGCTAAGGCTGTTCAACTGCTCACTATGATGTGCACTGACCACCACGGGGCAGATAGTCGACTGGTTGACCAGTTGCTATGACGTGCACTGGCCCCAATCTTGCACCAGTGGGGTCCCTCTGCCTGACCTGCATCCTCTCCTAATCTGGGACCCCTCAGGGGATTTCGGAGAGCCAGTTTCCGCCTGATCCTGCAGGCTACTCCCCTTGGGAAGGTGCCAGATACAGGGCTCACAGCTGGTGAGTGCTGCTGCAGTGGCACAAGCCTCTTTTGATCAGGACTGATTGGGCGCAGGCCCAGTGGGTCCGGGATGCATGAGAGCAGCAGGTAGGAGCTGCAGGCAGCACTGGACTGCGGATTTCGGCCCTATTCCTGCAGGCCACCCAGAGGGGGCCCACCCATGCACGAATTCATGCACCAGGCCTCTAGTATCTATAATAATAAAAGAGTAATATTCTAATTAGACTGGATGTTCTTCAAGATGTCATTCTGGACGTCCTTCCGGACAAAGTCAGGGCCGAAGGGAAGACCAGGTCCCAGGTGCCAGAGGGAAGCCAGTGCCCGCAGCCGGGGGAAGAAAGGCCTACTCTTGTATGAATTTCATGCATCGGGCCTCTAATATATTACACACACACACACACACACACACACCCTTATCTTGCTTCATAATCACAATTCCAGCTGCTGATTTAAATGCCCTGAATGAATTCTGGGAGCCATGGATTGAACCAGGGTACATTTTTAATAGTTATGGTACATTTTTAATAGTTATAAATAAATCTTCCTTTACCTAAGTGACTGTAGAATGATGCTGATTCTTCCTTCAATATAGTCATCCAAGGTTCTACTCCGTCTTCCCAGATTCCACTGACCTTACTGTCACTTCATGCCCCTATTCACTCTTTCCCCTCACCTAGTCCACTGTCGTTGGAAAGGAGACTGTGTCTTCTCTATGTTTGGGAATATGGTGTGATCCAAGCTGAGGTAGGTCTTTGAACAGATACAATGCCCTGAGAAAATATAGGCTTTTTTCCTCAAACAGTGACCTAAGATAAGGGTCTCCTTTTTTTCCTCTCAAAAAGCAAGCACTATAGGTTGTAGTGCAGTGTCTCCTCACAATAAACCTGAAAGTGCAATCAGAACAAAGCCACAACCATGAATGCTGGTGAAGCAATGCAATAAAAGGGATTCTATATGGGACCAAAGTGTTTTTCTCCAGGTGCCGATTTGTGACCTTGTTTAGTACAAATATAAATTTTAGAAGCAGCTATCCTCAATTTTGACCCAAAGTATTTTACTTTTATCAGAGTGAATGCTGTGTTCCCTCACTATCCTCAACCAGCAGTTTACTCTAACCCCTAGTCCAAATTTCAAAAGAAACCACCTTGATGGTCTCAGCTGAGTAACATTTTCTATATCCGGCCACTATTAGGACAACCTTTGGATAAGCTGCATTGAGTCAGTTGCACACCCTTGTGCAGGGTATAGCCTAATGCTGCGTCCCAGAGGAGAGGGTATGAACAGGGCAGTTACAGCAGCAAGGGCTATTAAGATGACAGGCACTGTATTAGCATGCACACCCTTGAGAATCCCCCATTTCTTGACATAAACAAGCATTCACCCTGTGTCCCAAGACATAAACCTAAGAGGAACACTTAAGCCCTCTCTCTCCCATCCTCTACTTTCAGGTAATCAACAAATTTGGTTAATTCTATCTTCTAATTAGGTAGGAATGGTTTCCATAGGGGAGGGAGTTGTAGGAGTGGGTGAAAAAAGTGAAGGGGAACCTATGTATGGTATCAAATGAGTACTAGCTTTATTGGGGTGATCAAGTCTTAAGTTAGATAAATATCTAACCACTATGTTGTATACCTGAAACTAATATACTATTGTTTGTCTGCTATAATTGAAAAAAAAAATTAATTACTTAAAAAGTAATCCTATATAATAAAACCTTAATATGCAAATTGACCCAACAGTGGAATGACTGGTTGCTATGATGTGCTCTGACCACCAGGGATGCTCGATGGAGGAGCTGCCCCTGGGTGGTCAGTGCATTCCCACAGAGGTAGCACTGCTCAGCCAAAAGCCAAGCTCACAGCTGGTGAGCCCAGCAGTAGGAGTGGGAGCCACAGCACTAAGGATGTCCAGCTGACCACTTAGGAGCAGGCCTAAGCGGGCAGTCAGACTTCCCCCAAGGGTACCATCTCACACCTGTCAGAACGGCCAGCATCAACAAATCAACAAACAACAAGTTGCCGAAACCGGTTTGGCTCAGTGGATAGAGTGTCGGTCTGTGGACTGAAAGGTCCCAGGTTCAATTCCGTTCAATGGCATGTGCATTGGTTGCGGGCACATCCCCGGCAGAGGGGTGTGCAGGAGGCAGCTGGTCAATGTTTCTCTCTCATCGACGTTTCTAGCTCTCTGCCCTCTTCTTTCCTCTCTGTGAAAAATCAATAAAATTTTTTTTAAATAATAGATAGATAAATAGATAGATAGATCCAGGGAAAAGCATAGGACTTTATTATGTGGAGAATCAAGTTTACAGAAAGAAGTAAAAATCTCTTGCCCCAGCCTATTGTATTAGGTGGCATTTTTTATTTTAGAAAGAGGAGAGACCAGTGGAACAAGCGCTTGATTTATAGTTGGATTGTGAAAATTGTGATGGTGGGTAAAATGGAATAGTCCAGCTTCTCATCAGACTGCAGTGCAGATAGAATTAACTCTTGCTCTCTCTGGTATTTTTTGTTTTCAGCTTCATTAATACAACAAACTTTCCTGTTTAGACATGATTGTTCTTGTATTTCTCCCACTCCGCATTTCTTCCTGCAGTAGCCTGCTAAGTTACTACCAAAGCATTTTTGGGGTCGTGCGGCATCTGTGCACAGGAAACAACATTAAACCCGGATTAGATCCTGAGGTAAAGCAGAAGAGGTCTGTGGTTCCCCACAAGCTATGGCCTCTCGGGGTCCCAAAGTGAACCTCAGACTCATACAAGAAATCTCAGAGCCTCCTCCTTGAAAACCATCCCAAATTAAGGACATCCAAAACCCCAATCCAAGCCAATACTCAATTGTCTCTGAGAACATTAGAACTTATGTGACAAAATAGAAGAGAGAACTCAATTTATGGCTCTTAAGTGAGGCTAGTCCCACGCCTAGGACTTTAGCAAATCTTACTCTGTCTTCCTAAGTCAGAGCCTATCCCAATCCAGTGTCTCCAGAGAGTACCCAGCTTGTCACCACGGCACAATTCAGAGCCATATTAACTTTTCAAAGAGTATCAAAAATGGGACTTTCTGTGTTAACAATATAATTGGGTGTCACACTCATTGATGTGGGCAGTAGAAATCGCCCTCTGCCAAGACCACATGGGCCTTAGCAATAAATGCCATTGAAAATGCCTTCCCTTGATTTCTACGGCCTCTCCTTTTCGTCTCAGATAAATGTGTGGCCCAGGGATCAAACTCAATACATGTATTCTAGAAATCCAAATTAGCACCCATTCAGAGCATTGCATTGAGGTCCTAAGTTTCTTGTTTCCAGATCTTTATTTGCCCTTGTACACAACTTTGGACAAACCCATGGAATAAAGGTGGAGAACAAAGAAACAAAAAGTATTTTTAAATATAATTTAAAAATATAATTTTTAAATATTTTTTTAAATACAAAAAGACCATATGCCTTTCTACAGCAGCAAGGGAGAACTTGGTGCTTCACATTTGTAAGAACATGAAATACGATTATCATGAAATTGAGTCATTCTACTCATTTAACAGGTGAGAAAACTAGGTTCAAAGTGAGTATTAGCTCAATGAATACAATAGTCAATGATGAAGACACATTTTAACTCATATCTACATGACTCCAAAGCTTGTCCTGTTCTCTTTACTGTTGTAGTATAGGACAAACATGAATTTGAATTTAAAAAGAGATAGCCAGGCTCCTGGGTGGAAAAGTTTTGTACATGATAAAGGTAATTCTAGATGATGAGCTCATTCCCACCTCTGGAGAGGACTTCTGAGAGCATGGCCTTGACATCCTGTTCCCTGGCCAGATGCTCTCTTCTAAGCACAGACTCAAGTTAGGCACCCAGAACAGTGGGTACTTTTAATTAATTGGCAAGACACCAGTAATTCCAAAGGCCCTGACTCCACTCGTATGGATAGGAGCATCTCCTAGGATTTCATGGTACATTTGGACAAGTTACCTGTGGGTGCTTCAAAGAGCAGAATAATGAGAATCAGAAACGGCTTCATGATTATAGATTTCCCAAGAGAAACAGGCCGCAGGATCTTTTTGTTCAGCAATCTCAGGGTCTTTCAAAATGAGCCAGCGTTTTTGGGTGCTATCAACTTTCTGAGCTCTCGTTTTAACCCACATGGATTAACAGGAAATCCAAGTCCACCTCCACCTACATTCCCAAATATAGAATTCTCGGTCACAGAACGTTCCATCACATGACACCCACTTCTCCTTCCTCAGGATGTGAGCTCCCGGAGAGCAGGAGTAAAGATTTCTTCACCCGGGTCATCAGTCCATTTGGGTCAACGTTAGTTGGTCCTATGTCTGGTTCGTGTGGGACATTCCCTCTTTATTCCTATTAATCCAATGTCCCATCTAGCTACTTCCACCTTTCCCTCACAAAAGTAATCCAGTTTAAGAGATTAATAAAATCATTAGCTAATCAAGGTAGATGCACAAGCACATACAGTAATAATTTTTAATGTATGAAACTTCCAAAAAATCTTCTAGGAGAAAGGTTGCTTTTAGCTTTGGCTAGGTAAATTATCTCAAAATTTCCCCATAAAGTTTTGCCTATTCAGTACAACTCAATTCTACAACTGAAGCCTTTTAGAAGATCACATCTCTTTAGCACAGTGTTCAAGTCATGAACTGGTGGTCCCTGCTCACCTCTCCCAGAGCATTTTATGGAACCACTTAGGTTTCTGCCAAATTAGTATGTGTGCCCCTATTTAACTTGCAACTTACATAACCTGTTTCTTTGCACATTTAAATCCCTCTTCACATATTATATTATGTTCACCTATCCCATCCAGCTAACTGGTCCTGTATCTTGTACATTTTTTGTTGGTAATCACACATGTCATGTTCCAATTATTTGTTTATTTGTGATAATCAATGAGCCCCTCAAGGCAGACCAATGGTTTTGTTCAATTTGGAGTTCTTAATGCATAACAGAAAACTCCTTAGTACATAATTATAAAATGAATGATTGCAAAATACTGAATAAATTATTGCTAAATAAAGTACCCCAAAACAGCAATAAAGTTATTTAAAGCATAGCTTCAAGAATTCTATTTACTGCATTTTACAATTTCTAGACACAGAACCTTGAATTTATAGTAATTAGGGCCCATCCAAATATCTTTCTGTGACAGTACCTAGAAGAAAATAGAATCTGTGGAGGCTGTATAAATATCTGTTGATGATTAAACTCATATCACAGCATAGAGATGGGGTTAGGGTTAGGATTAGAAATGAGTATTGTGCATAAACTATTGTTTTCCCAGTAACTAGACTGAATTAAGTTTGTCAAGGAGAAGGGAATGTGAAATGCTGCTGATTTGCCAAGATGAGGAATAAGTCTTAACCAGTAGCCCCACCAGATATGCACTAGCTCTACCAGTATCCTACTTGGTTACAGCTCATTTCTCATCTTCATGACCTCTTCATGTATGACCACTAGATGACAAATGTATTATATATTTTTATGTTTATATTACTTACTTAAGCCCTCATGAGAGCACTATGAAGTAGAAGTTAATACCACTCTTTTTCAAATTGGAAAACCACAATTTAAGGAACTGGTCATGTGCCCAATGCAAAGAATGAGCTAGGATCACCTGGCTGGTGTGGCTCAGCTGGTTGGGTCGTACCATGCATCAAAAGGTCACAGGTTCAATTCTCAGTCAGGGCACATGGACAGGTTTTGGGCTCTATCTCCAGTAGGGGACAGCTGATGAGGTTTCTCTCTCTCCCTCTCCCTTCCTCTCTAAAATCAATAAAAACATAAAAAAATGTTTAAAGAATGAGCTAGGATCAACAGAGATCTGCATGAATCTAAAAGTAAAGGCCTTAGCCATTGTTCTAATCTGCCTATCTGGCTACGTTCTTTGGGTCAATCGTTGGGACACTGAAGACAAAATAATCAAATACATAATATTGTTTTTTTAATTTTGTTCACAAAATTTATTGGTCATGAACTTGGCTGAACATCTTCCCCCTACCCACCTGCTTACGGCCTACTCTCCACTCAGAGAGCAACCTATATTGAGAGCAGCATGTATTGAGAGAATTCGTATTTCTGATTTCCACAGATGGCATTATTACATCCTGGAAGCAATATTGCCTGCCTACTTCAATAGATTCCTAAGTGTGATTGTTTATCTGTTTATCTGTATCCATTCAGAGAGTCTTTATGCAATCCTGAACAGGTACAAGTAAGCACACAATGTTCTCATTTTCAAAGCTCTCTGACTACGGTTTCCCCTGAGTAGGCTGGGATGGATAATAAAATGTTTCTTTTTAGTCATGGTCAGTTTAAAAAAAATCACCCATGAACATTTGTTACTACAACTCCCACCTGTGGCCCATGATAGTACAAACTGTTTTTAATGGCTTAGTTATAAATGAATTTTAAATGTTTCACTTCTTAGAAATGTCATCTGAATTCTACTTAAGATGTTATCTTTCCAGACTGTTGGACAGACTGAATCTAAGCCAGAGATAGGATTACTAATTCCCTTTTACAAAGATTGAGGAAATCAAGGCAAGATTATTTCATTGTTCTTTGTTCAGGAAATGAGAAATAATTGAATTAATATTTCATGCTAGAAAAAAATCAGACTCATAGATAAACAAAAATGAGAAAATAGAAGCCACCTATAATCTCATTTCTTTCTGGTAACATTTTGCTGTTTAGCCTTCTAAATATTTTGCTCCCAAAGTCATTTATTTTGACAATCAGGTAAGATAAAGCAACAAGAGCTTGCTTGCGTTTCATAAACTCAGTTTAAAATAAAGTATGTTAGTCAACAAATATTCCCTGAGTACACACACACACACACTCATACACACAAAAGTCTACACTCATCCCTCCAATTCAAGAAATAGGCCCATTGGCAAACAGGCATGTGCCAATACAGAGGAGCCCCATATTAGCTGCCTTTATTGACCTACTTTTTATGCCTAAATATACCGGGTATTCCCAAAAAAGTATACCCACTTTAACAGCTGATAGCTCAATTTTGAAAATGAAATGTATTTTAATAAACACTGCCTTTATATTGTTCAAAGTCTACATATGCATTTTTTTGAGAATTTATAATAATAAAAGTATAATATGCAAATCAACCAAAAGCTGAAGAGTGGAACGACCGACCAGTGGAACAACTGTCCGGGCGAGCTTCTGGACGAAGACACAGCTGTGAGGGCCAACACAGCGGGGGCAGTGAAGGCCTACTCTTGCACGAACTGAATTTCATGCATCAAGTCTCTAGTATATATATATATATAAAACCAGATAGTTTTAGGAAAGTAAACAATGTAAAAGAGAACTTAAATGAACAATAAGAAAAAATTACCTCAAAGGAAATAAGCTAATACTGATGACAAACGAGGATTATTAAATTTTACAAAAGTGACAGATTTAACAATATAAAATGCAAAACATCTTCATAAGAAAATTCATTCAGGAGAAGGTGTGAGCCAGTATATAATTAAAAAGACAATCAGAGTAGAATAAAATTTGTAAATGTTTTATATATCATAAAATAATTTATATCCATGATATATAAAGAATGTTTGCAAATCAATAAGAAAATGAAAGATGACCTTATCAGAAAATAGGTAAATGATATCATAACAAAACATGTAAGCACCTCTTTCAGAAGGTCAATATAAATTCAGAAATATAATGTTCCCTCTGAAAGAATCTGCTTTTAATCCAATTAGGGTTGCAATTTACTATATATCACTATTCCTTCTTAATCCATTGCATTCCAGAAACCCAAATATACTAGGAATATGTCTTACATTTTAGGAAACACACAATGAACCTCTATTTAGGTTTAATATATTTTTATTGATTTCAGAGAGGAAGAAAGAGGGAGAGATTAAAACATCAATAACAAGATAGAATCATTGATTGGCTGCCTCCTGCATGTCCCCCATTGGGAATGGAGAAGAAGAGAGAGAGCAAGATATTGAAAATCTATTTGAAGAAATAATGACCCAAAACTTGCCCACCTGGTGAAAGAAATAGACTTACAAGTCCAGGAAGTGCACAGAATCCAAACAAAAGGAATCCAAAGAGGACCACACCAAGACACATCATAATTAAAATGCCAAGAGCAAAAGACAAAAAGAGAATTTTACAAGCAGCAAGAAAAAAACAGTTACCTACAAGGGAGCACCCCATACAACTATCAGCTGATTTCTCAACAGAAACTTTGCAGACCAGGCGGAAATGGCAAGAAATATTCAAAATTATGAATAGCAAGAAACTACAACCAAGATTACTCTACATTTGAAGGTCAGATAAAGAGCTTCACAGATAAAAAAAAGCTAAAGGAGTTCATCACCACCAAACCAGAATTATATGAAATGCTGAAAGATTTTCTTTTTTTTTCTTTTTCTTTTTTTTAATATATTTTATTAATTTTGTACAGAGAGGAAGGGAGAGAGATAGAGAGTTAGAAACATCGATGAGAGATAGTCATCGATCAGCTGCCTCTTGCACACCCCCTACTGGGGATATGCCCACAACCAAGGTACATGCCCTTGACCGGAATCGAACCTGGGACCCTTCAGTCCCCAAGCCAACGCTCTATCCATTGAGCCAAACCGGTTTTGGCTGAAAGGTATTCTTTAAGAAGAAGAAAAAGATAAAGATAAAAATTATGAACAACAAATACATATCTATCAACAAGTGAATCTAAAAACTAAGGGAATAAAAAAATCTGATGAACAGTATTAACTGGTGAATATAATAGAATCAGGGGCATAGAAAGGGAGTGGACTGACAATTCTCGGGAGAAAAGGGGAGTAGGGGGTTCGGGAAGAGACGGGACAAAAAGCGTACAGCTATGGATGAGGACAGTGAGGGGAGGAAGGTAAGGGCAGAGGGTGGGGTAGGAACCTGGTGGAGGGGAGCTATGGGGGGGAAAAAGAAGAACAACTGTAATAATCTGAACAATAAAGCTTATTAAATTTTAAAAAAAGATAAAGGGGAAAG